GAGAGGTAACACATTGATTTTCGAAAGTAATGATCATATGACCTTTTCGAACGATCAAAAGGAAATAATTTCTTTTTACTTATTGAATTTTTACATATAAATACACATATATACCTAATTTTTTCTTCTCTTTCTCTCATTTTATTTACCCAAAAATCAACCACTTTTTCATTCAACCAAATATGGAGTAGGGCCTGAACACCCTTTTTCTAAAGACAAACACAAATGCTCTCATAGGATTCACATAATACGATAGTTATATAAACCTACTCAACACTAACTCACCTCAAATAACATTTCAAGGAAGCTTCTTTAATCCCGTCTTACACATAATTCAATTCCGTACACTGCCCTACATGCAATAAAGCCCAAATCTTCAACAAAACTTTTTCAATACTTTCGCTTCTATGCCACCAAAAACCACACATCCAATACATAAATTGTTCCTGAAACGCAAGCGGGAGACAGAGAGAAAGGTTGATGGAAAGGAAAAGGAAACGAAAAGCAATCACAGAAAGTGAAGAAGAACCTCCACTTTGTTGGATACCAGAAGAGGGTAAGTGTTGGTGTTGGTGTTGGCATGGTGTGAGACTTCAAAAAATCCAACTGTAGGAAATGATATATGAAGACTTGGTTTTTGGGAAGTCGTGCTCAGAAAATTCCATGCGATTTTGAAGAAATATACATAATGCAATATCGATGTGCTTCATAGCAAGTAGACTCCAATCAGTCATCAGTACACCATGCAACATCCCAAAAATTCAGAGTAAAATTTTCATTTTTAAAACAATAAGCCATACAAATAAGTTGTACCAAAACCAATCAAGTGATTACATCGTATAAACATCAGAGTAAAAATCATAAGTAGTCAATACAAAAACTCAGGGGGATGCAGTACAGTCATGTCAAGCCCTTCCCTTTAGAACCGAAACTATTTGAATCATAATTGTAAAACCATAAACACAAAGCTTAGTGAGTTCCCTAAATACAACATACCATACATAGAATAGAGATTGTTATGTGCCATCAATAGTCTTACAATTGTCATTATTCCATGATTCGTATCAATGTATTTCTTTCCCATGCCAATGGCCAAAACCTAGGTCTTACAAACAAATGTCAAGAGCCACCTCCTGGTCTTCCATTCAAGTATCACAAAGACAACTAGAATCCTACATATAACTATCAGGGTCCAGACCTGGTCTTGCATATAATTTTCTCAAACCCGTATCTAGATCTTCCATACAAAATCCAGGGGTCACTCCCTAGTCTTCCAATACAACATAATCCAATGGGTGGGTATTGGAGTCTTCGACTCCTAATTACAGTGAGGAGATTCACCTCAATCCTAAAGATAGCCACATCACACACATGTTGCTGCTACAAAATATCCTTACATTAAGCATATCAAAACAAACCCTAATCAATAATTAGAGTGAGAGCCTATCATCAAAGTCCATTTATTATTCTCTTTCACAAGGGTAAAATACCATTTTACCGTTCCAAGGCTAAACCCATCCAACTTGGCCCAAAGCCCAAAACGACATATTTCTAATCTTGGGAGTACGCCATTTGTACACCATAACTAAACCCCACATACCACGACTCCTCAAAAAAGAAAACGGGCATAACCCGTTATGCCCTACGTATGGTTGGGTTACGCCCTAGGAAATCCAGTTGATGCCAAATCGACTTTTTAAGTTATTAATACCTTAAGACCTCATGTCCATA